TTTAAATCTTCATCTAAAGCCATAGGATTAGCTTTAAAATCTAATAGTGTCCTTAATAAACTCACTTAATGTTAAGAAGAATTCCAAACACAATAATGCAATGGAGTTCTTTTCCTCTAATCAACATCATTTGATAACTCTGGTTTAGTTGCTAATACCAATTATAATGTTTATGCACTTGGACAAGAAGCAGCAAAATGAATACATGAACGACCTAATGAATCTCTTGCTGTTATATCTGCTCCTGCTTTTAACAATGTATCAACTATTGTTTCATGTCCATGTAAACATCCATAATGTAAAGGTGTTTTCAGAGTCCTATCTCTACAATTAGGATTGAAACCACTCATCAATAAAATTTCCACTATGCTTAAATGTCCCTCTATTGTTGCAACATGTAAAGGGCTTTTTTTCGTTTAGTCAACACTCTACTTTATTTGAGGATCCTTTGACTCTTTCAAGTACTATCTCACCTTTACAAGATCACCCCGCGAACAATTGATAAATAAGGCTGAATGTTCTGAATTGTCTTTTCTTGCCATCCAATTTATATCAAATTTTGATCTATTTAATCTTTCAAATGCTTTCACTTCAAATTTACCTTACCAATCTAATCCTGTGTGCTACTGAAATACTTTTCCAAAATTTGGAATAATCAGTGCTGTAGCAACTTCTTCCAAAGCCAATCCTTCAAATCCCTTTCTTTGGAATTTCTATATCAAACCCTTTATTTGTTAATCTGATATTTCATCAGGTCCACCAGATCCATTATCAAGAGCTTTATTATAATTCATATTATAAATTAATTATTTTCAATTATATTTCGATTAGCTTTGAATTGGTTCAAATTATTCATTAGATATATTCAATTTAATAATGTAAAATGACTAGATTAGGTTTCATTATCATTGACATTCTAATGATATTAATTTAATTTTTATTATTAATAAATATAATCTACAGGAACCAAATTTTTAATAATTTCCTCATGATATTATCAATATTCAGTATTTTAATTAGTTCTAAATAAATATATCCTTCTTCAGTGTGTCTTCATAATTTTGCCTTTCCTTGAAATCCTATTTAAAATTACTTGGATTACCTTCATATTACAGGATTACAAATACAATTTTTTAAAGGTTATTAATCTTACGGAATTAACATGTGAATAGAAGCAAATATCATAATGAATTCTAGTGAAAACATACTAAACTTAAATCAGATTTTAATGTTTTATGTTTTAAGAAGTGATTTGTCTTAAAATGAATAATAGAGAAGAAAGGATTGATTTCATGAAAAATGATGATTTTTAATGAGAGAATGGGAAAAGATAATTTACATAAATGAGGCTGAAATTGAAATGGATAGAATGAATAAGGATTTTTATGAAGAAAATATAATTCTTAGATCTATCTCTATAATCAATGATTTCTCAAAATTTGATATTTTTTGAAGACCTTGGTATTTATGATAGGAATTTGGATTAAATGTAGAAAGAGTATGTTTTGAGGTAGAGAATAGACTTATAAATAAAAGAAAATCAAATATTGTTCAAATAATGAAAAAGTAATTGTAAAAGAAGTGTTTTGCTATTAAAAAAAATGAAAATTAAGTTTTGCTATATGATATTAGATTTTAGAATGACGGTTAAATTTGATAATATGTTAAGTACTTGAGTTTTGTGATTTATTCAAGAAATAAAAGAAATTATGGATGTCTTTTTGTTTTATTCAAAAGAAATGAGAAAGCTTCAAATATTTTAGAATATATGTTTATAATTGATATCAAAGATTGAAAATTCAAATTGACAATTAAAAACTTAATAATATAATGAAGAACAAAAACAAGAAGTTATCAGCCTAAGATGGAAAATTTATTTATGAAGGAGATATAATTACAGATGATAAATCAAAATAAGTACTTTATGATGGTCCAGGATATCTATTTAATAATGAAACAAAGTGTTTTTTTAAAGGAACATGGAAAAGAGGTGAGAAAGTTTGTGGAATTGAAACTTTCCCAAATGGTGATGTTTATGAAGGTTAATTCAAAGATGGAATGTTTAATGGTAGAGGAATACTTTATAATAATGTTCAACTCTATCCTGATAAAAAAGTTTAATACCTCTATGATGGGTAATTTGAGTAGGGATAAAAACATGGTTTCGGTAAAGAAACCTACATCACAGGGGGACGTTATGAAGGATATTATAAATACAATTAGAAACATGGAAATGGTAAATTAGTATTTTCTGATGGATCTTATTATGTTGGTGATTTTTAGAGAGGTAATTAAATTCTTATTAAGTTTAGGATTACCTAATGGATTTGGAGTTCATGTGGCTTATTCTAAGGAAAGAATAATTGCAGTATTCCCTCCACCTTATAATAATGAAGGTAGAATTGACTCATAATAGAATGAGGAAATTTAAGATCACGAATAAGAAAAAGAAAAAAGAGAATATTTATATGAAGGTGATTTTGTAGATGGATATAAACATGGGATTGGAAGACTCTATTATCCTAATGGTTCCTATATATATGCTTATTGGGAATATAATAAACCTGCTCGTGATTTTATTGAGTATATTGCTGAAGGTCATAAATGGAGAATTCTTAATGTTAAATAATTATAGACAGAATAGAGTATTAATTTCTTCAAGATCATACGAGACAATAAACCTGAATGGATTGAGAAGTATCCAATAAAAGGGAATAGCTATCCTCCTGCTGAATTAGATGGTTATAAAGTACTTATTGATGAAAAAGGATTGAAAAGAGAAGATTTTGAAGATCCAGAATTTGATTATACTGAATAATCTTTTAGTATTAAGGATGAAAATGATTAACCTGTTGGAGCACCAATTGAATTTGAAAGAATATATACATCTAAATACTTCAAGAAGAAAGAATTTAAACTCTTCGCTAAAGAGATATAACCTGGTTATTTAAAATACTCAGAATAATATTGTTGTTAATAATTAACAGTTGTATTAAATGCACTTACATTTCATTCTTATCTTTTATCTAAAGTATTTTCTAGAAAATATGAAGCTGAGTAATTATAATATTTAATAATCTAGAATTGGATTTTATTTCATTAAACTATTTTTAAGAAATGAATGGAAAGAATTTATTGTAGATGATCGAATTCCAGTATTCAAATCTGATAAAATGCCTATATTTTCTAATTCTTAAGAGCCAGAATTAGCATGGACTATCTTATTCAAAGCATTTGCAAAATACAATTAATCTTTTCAATATTTTTCAAATGATAAAATAATGAGAGCAGTTGAATATTTAACATTGCTTACAGGTATGCCAACTGTATAATTATCAGTCCCTAATATCTTTGGGGATAATCAAGAATATTCTGATTAAGTATGATATTGTAAATATTCTAGTAAAAAAAAATATGGAGAACTATGGCATAGAAATATTAAAATACTAAAGTCAGAATTTGTTATTTATATAAAGATATGGAAGATCGATTAAAATTACCTAGAAATACAGCCTATTAAATTGTTGATATGTAAGAGTCATCATAAGGTAAAAGAGATGAATCATATTATCTACTTATTCTTGCATCAAATTAAAAACTTGCTTTAAAATAAGAAATAACTAATTAAATTTCATTAACTAGATAAAAATTATAGGAAAGAAATCCTTAAACTAAAGGCAATGATTCTTACTTTTTTATGGAATATAAAGATTTTATCAAACATTTTCAATATGTATTTGTCCTATGTGCTTCCAGATATCCAATATAAAATCAATAATTGATAGAACCTGAAGATAAAGATAAATATAATCATGAACTAAGGTTCTTTTGTAAATTTAGAACAAATTTAGCTTAAGATTGTTTAATATGTATTACTTAAGATCATTAAGAAAAATAGGATGAGTATATTATTTAAGATAGTAATTTATAAATGATTATATATTAGAAACATTTCCTGTAAGAATTGTACTTGCAAAACAAAAGGATTTATTTACTAATAAAAATTAAGTTAAAAAAAAGATTGTATCAAGATGGTAAGAGTAAGCCAATCGTTCAAAATAAGAAAGAGAAAAAGATAAAAAAGAAGAAACAATTAAAGGTGATATGAAATATGGTTCTATATTTGAATAAAATTCTGATAAAAAATAATTAAATCCATACAAATATTGTTTTGGAAGAGGTTAATCTTCAGAGAAAATGTTATTTAAGGATGCTTCTTTAGAAAGTGGAGATTATGTATTATTTGTTTAAGTTGAAACAGGTGATAATAAAGAATAATTTGATTTAAAAAAAATGAAGTTTTGGATTACTATTCATAGTCAAAAACTGATATAGATTCAAAGACTTGATTAATAAATTTAAGGATTCTAAAAATAAGTATATGAGAGTGCTATAGCTATTGCAGATAAACATTCTTAAGATACTTAAAAAATTAAATATTTTCATAAAGGAGATCTTAGTGAATAAGAAAATGGAAGTAGTGATCTTGTAATTACTTAATATTTTATAAAAAAAGAAGGAACATATTTATAACATTTACATAATAAAAGTACTAATAAAATTTGGAGATAGAAATTATATTTTAAATTAGATAATATGTAAATTATTGATCATAGAGAATCTCAAAAATTAGATATATGTTTATCTAAAAAATAAACAGCTTTAATAATAATTTAACAAGTTGGAGCAAAAAAGTATAATTTAGAAGGAGGAGAAGGAATTTGTATTGTGGATTTATTACATGATGAACATGCAGATGAGGAATAGGAAATAAAGAATCAAGATGCTGGAAGTTTTCAAGAGGATACATAACAAATCTTCTAATAGAATTCATCAAAACCAAAATTTGGAAGTTTACTTTTTAAAAATTGAAAGTGAATATAAATATAAATATGTATTCAAAGTTAATCTAAAATTTTAAATAAATTTTTTAAGAATTATTTTAGTGGTAATTCGAAAATTAATTTAAATTTCGAAATTTGACTTAAAACACCTATGAAATGAATCTATTTCCTTTAAGAAATCTTTTTTCAAATCCTAGTTCACCTCAAACTTTTGAACCAAAACTATGTAAAAAGTTATTTTTTAATCCTCCATATACACCTGAGTTTGGTAATTAAATTAGATAACCAATAAAATTATAAGTAAGAGAGGGGATTGGAAATGAATAAAAAAAATAATTAGCTTTGAAAATTTATCAATAATAAAAATAAAAGAATTAATACGATTAAATTAATTCACCTCATACTCCTAAAAAAATGAGATTAAATTATCTTAATCACCAGGAGAGAAAATAAGCCAAATCAAATTAATAAGAAAAAAGTAATTAGAAATTTGAATAAGTAATTTCATGGGGAATTAGGGGTTCCAAAAAGTAGATATTAAGAATAATATATATAAGTGAATTTTTTGGGTAGTGGTTATCTTGGATAAGTTTATATATGTAAAAATAGATTTACAAATTAAATTTGTGCAATAAAGTGTACAAAAATAAAAAACAATAAATTAAATATTGATTTAGCAAATATGAATCTCAAGCTTTGGCATATTTATATTCTAAAGGAGCATGTAAAAATTTAGTTAGATATTTTACTTCATGACAAGAAGGAAATATGTTATATATGTTAATGGAGTATTGTGATTATAGTGTTAATTCAAGATAAGATAATGAGAAATTTGAAATAAAAAAATACTTAAAGATATAACTAATGGATTGATTTTCTTGCATGAATAATAAATAACACATCTTGATATTAAACCAGAAAATATTCTATATAGTAAGAAAGATTGTTAATATAAATTGGCTGATTTAGGTTTATCAAAGAAAATATAATAACGCCAAGAAGATGTGAGAGTTGGAGACTTTAGATATATTGCCAAAAAATTACTTAATTAAACAGAGATGTTAGATCTTTGCAAAACTGATAGATTTTAATTAGGTGTTACTCTTTATTAATTAATGATAAGATAGTAATTACGATCAAATGGAGAAGAATAGCATCGTATTAGAGATGGTATTCGAATTACTGATTTTCCTGAAAACACTTATTCCCTTAGATTAAGGAGTTTAATATGTAGAATGATGGATCCAAATACTTTCAAGAAGTAGTGTTCAAGATATTTTGGAAGATGAGTATATATATATAAAGTAAGAAAATTATATCAAATGGGAAAAATACGTGGTTTTGATGCTTAGAAGATAATTAGATGAATACTTAATTAATAAAGAAAATGCAGTATATGATGGGATATTCAATTAGTTGATATTTTTCTGAAAAATTTTGTTATATAAATTTTGTAAATTTTATGCAAACCTAAAATAAATCATAAATATAATAAGAAGAAAACATACCTATCAAAAATTCAGAACAGGAATAAGTAAATTAATAGAACCATCAAATTTAATTGAACTAATAAGATCGAATATAATAATCATCAATACCAGTTTCTGAAAAAACTAAACTGCCTGTAGAATCTAACATATATTTGAATTAAAATAATTTTCCAGGATTCTAGGAAATACCAAATAATTGGATAAAATAAGTTCCTTATTAATAATCAGTTATTGTAGCATAATAAATATAATCTGAAGTGAATTAAGTTTAACAATCTTCTAATTAGTAAATAGACAATTAATAATTAATGATTCCTTAAAGTATGTCATATCAACCTGGTTCTGGTATTCCAACTCATCATAACTTAACTTAAATTCCAAAATTAAGATTATCTTAATATTTATAATGTAAATGGTGTAATCAAGAAGTATTTTCCTAAATTGAGCATAAAATTGGACTGACTCAAGTATTATTGTGCCTCTTTTTCTTACCTTTATTAGGAATTGGTGTAATTTTTTTATTTTTTGATGTATTTATATATATAATCATATAGACTTTAAAAGATTGCTAACATTTTTGTACTAATTGTTCTTGTGAAATGGGAGTAGTAAAATTGATTGATTTTTAATGTTGATATTAAATTTATAATATTAATTATATTTTACTATGTTAGCTCCTCAATACATTTTAACGAAATTTCAGGAATTTTTGGAAATATAATTAGAAAATAAACCAAATAAAAATGAAGTAATAAAGAAATTAAGAGACTTTAATAGATATTTTGCAGCAAACAATTACAATATTAGCAAAGGGTTTGAATATCTTTAGAATAATCAAAACAACATACAATAATTATCACCTATACCAAAAATAATTATTGATAAACTTTAAATACCTGAAACCACTATGCAACTTACTGGACAAGGATTACAGGGCTTATATTATGCAATTATGTTTGGGTTATAAATTAAGAAAGGATAATTTATTGCTGATGGGACAGCTTATCAACAATTAAATTAACTAATTAAAACAAATTAAATTAATTAGAGTATAGGATTATGGTATTTTACAGAGATAGCTACAATACTTTTGAAAAATAGTATAAATCTTAATTTGAGTAACCATCTATTAGAAAATGGAATAAAGATTAGTGATTAAATTGATATTAAAAATTTGTCTATTGGATAGAGTGCACTTTTAATTGATAATCTTAAATATGTTATTAATGTTGATATACAATAAATACTTTATTACAAACCAAATAAAACATTACATAGATTAGTATTATTGAATTCCAGTCTTCCTAATTGTGTAAAGATAATGATAGAAAATGATATTTATTAAGATGTGCTATTATTTTCTTTATTTTAAGATGAGTATAATAATTAAAGAAATCAATAATCGAAACACTAATAATAATACTATCCTCAATAATAAAATAGTACATAATTGAATAATAAATAAATATCTATTCAGTAATAAGTTAAGATGTTATTGGAAGAAATGAATTAATAGACAGATATATTAATAGAATAAAATCAATTGAAAACATTACCTGAATTTAAAGCTTAACAATATGTAAAGTAAATGAAGAATCAAATATTGTCAGAAGAGAAGAAAAAAAAGTGTCTAAAATGCTAATAGGAGTTTAGTAGTGATATTGGAAGTATTGCAGGATAAATTACAAATTTTTGTATGAAATGTTATAAAGAATTTTCAATTTGAAACAAATTATCATAATAATAAGCTGTATGTAAATATTATAAATATTTTATGGTAATTTTTTTTGTAATTTCTTTAATAAATACAATTAACTTATTGTAATTAATTGAGAAATTTAGTGTATGGACATCGATTAAGAGAAAGAATTTAACGAAGAAAATAATTAAATTATAGAAGAAGACATCAATTAAATCTAAAATGAAGTATAAGATATCCAATTCTAATAAGTCACTGATAATTAGGAGAATGTATTAATATATAATTAAACAATTAGAATAAAAAGGGTGAAATAAGAAGAGTGCCAGTTCCTCCTCATAGAGTAACACCTTTGAAAAATAATTGGGATAAAATATTGACAACAATAGTGGTATTTATTTAAATAAAAAATGAAAAGGAAAACATGAAATTGTAAATAAGAATGAATACAAAAAAAAAGTGTGTTGAAATAAAAACATCTTAATTTACTGAAGATAAGACTTCATTATAGAGAGGTGTAGACTTTTTAAAAGCATTCATGATGGGTAATAAAACTTAATTAAAAATTATAGGATTTGATATTGATGATTCAGTGGCTTTATTGAGATTAGATGATTTATATGTAGAATCATTTGAAGTTAAAGATGGTATAATAGTAAATAAAATATAAATAGTTAAAACATTACATGGTGATCATTTGTCAAGATGTATTGGTCGTATATCAGGTGAAAAGGGCAAAACTAAATTTGCAATAGAGAATGCAACAAGAACTAGAATAGTTTTAGCAGATCAAAGAATACATATTCTTGGAAGCTATTCAAATATCAAAGCTGCCAGAGATGCAATTTGTGCTTTGATTTTGGGAAGTCCTCCTGGAAAAGTATATTCATAATTGAAGTCTCTTTGTAGAAAATATGTGGAGAAAAGTTGAAATTATATATATCTATCATAATCATTATAATTAATATTACATTAATGAAGGATATCTAAAGAAACTCTATAATAAAATATTTAAATAGTAAATTCATTAATGTAAATAAATAAAGTTAATTTTTAAACAATATTCATATTGCTAATTATAATGTATATAGTCCTAGTTTTATTATTTCATCCTTAAATAATCCAATTATATATTTTCTATTTATCCTAAATTATAAATATTTTGATATCAATTATATAATTTTTATTAATTTTGTAATTAACAGTTAATTTATATGATTAGATTTGGAAAATCACCATAACCTATTTAAAGGAACCCAAAAAAACCAGATAATTTAGAAATTCTAACACTTTTAGATAATTGCACATGTAATTAATATATTATAAATTAGTAATTTTCAAGGATGATAGGATTGCATTAAGAAATATGGTAAAAGAAGGAAATCAAGATGTCATAGCAATACTGAATCAATATAAGAAGGGTAATAATCTTAAAGATTTATCAACTGATTTAAGAAAATATCTTAGAAGAAAGGGAGACAAAGAAAATGAAAAAGTTCTTACTTGTTAATCTCCTACATCCAACAGAATTTAAAAAGTCTAACAATTATAAATATAAACTTTACAAAATAGTTAAAAGAAATCATGCCCTGATTTATGGAAACCAGTTGAATAACAATCTCCAAAAGCAATAAACTTATGTAAAAATAATTAATTTGTCAATGATGTTCAATTTTCAGAAATTGTACTTTCAGATAGAAATTAAAATGAATCAAAGGATATAGAATAAATTTAATTTTAAACTAACATATCATAATAATATGCATTTCATCAACCAACTACTAATTAATTAGATCATTCTTAAACAATTCAATAGAGCAGTTAATTATAAAATAGTTAACAACATTAATTATAAGATTAAGATATAGATATAAATGAAGAAGATGATATCCAATCTGAATCTTCTAATGAAAGCATTTTAAATTAGATCTCTTAACCACCTCCTTAAATATAAGATATTACTCCAAAAAATGAAATCAAACCATCATAACTATTTCAAAGTGGACATTCCACATATCTATAAATAAACACTTGTTAATCTTATCTTTAACCTATATTAACAATTTAAGAAAAATCACCAGTCATTCTTAAATTATAAGAAGATGAAAATAAAATTATCGTAAAGGATTCTTAAAAATACTATAGTTTTTACAATTATTAAGATTATTAAAAAGTAGCATAACCATAATATAAGCATTTATTTACTCATTGGCCATCCCTATTACATAAATTAGATCGACCTGAATTTGTACCAAATTATAGAGTTGTACCTTATATTAATGCAACTCCTGAATAAATATTTTCTATTTTGTTTCCAAATTCTGGGAAATCTAAAATAAGTTATTTTGCATTTGAAAATCAATTAAAACATAATTTATTATAAATTGATAGAGACTCATTATTTAAAGAATTAGATAAAGATTAAGATGATTGGATAAATTATAGAGAAACTGGTGTTATTTTAGAAGGCTTATGTTTATAAGTAGAATAACCAAAAAATTGTGTGAAAGTTATATTTGAAACTTTGAAAGGTTCTCCAACCATACCTAACACATTAACACTTTAAGATTTAGAATTATTTGAAAAAAAAACAGATTTTCAATTTGCCAGATAGTATATAGTATATTTTTATAATTTAGATTAATGTAAGAAGTAGATGGAATATAACAAGGACATCTAACTTATTGGGATTTATACATGCATCGTGACATATATCTAATGGAAAGATTATGTTAGATAGTTTCATAAATTACAGGTGCCACTCATTAACATTAGTGACATTGAAATTATAATAATATATACTTATAATTTGATTCATTATTAGAATATTATTTATAAGAGTTAAATAGAAAATAAGATTATGGATATTAATGATCAAATTTAACAATAAAATATTAAATAAGTTTATTTTAATATTCATTTTAAATAACTTGGAATTTATAGATGTTTACCTTCAATACTTGGTTCTATTTTTCTTTTATTACCATTATATATCTGAATTCCCTAATCCTTAATTATTGTGTAATTTTTCAATTGCAATTTTTACTTCTCCTTAAATAATTCTTAATAAAAATTATATGGACTAGAAGGTAAGAAGCCTAGCCCTTATTTTTCATTTTATTAAATTTAGTGTTATTCTGAGTAAATTGTTCTATTTTATGTTTTTTATTTAGATGCTTAATATAATGTAAGGTTTTAATTATTGATAAATTAATTTGGAATATTAAATTGTTATTTCTTATTGTTTTGACTGATACTCCTACGTTTTGTGACTGAAGATGCTCTTGAATCTCCATCGTCTCTCATAATTACTAAAATATCTTATTATGGAGAATTTTGTTCAATATCTCTAAATTATACATTTGGACTATTTTTAAAACGAATTGATTGAAGATCCATATCAACTTAAATTCCTTAGTCTTAATAATTTATTTCTTATATCATTAGATGTTCTTTTCTTCTGACTTTTTCAACCTATTTTTGGAATCCACTAGAAGTTGTATCTAATAATTGTTATTAACTCTTTTTATCTCTCTTTACTATCATACTCTCATTTTTTTTCTCATTCTTTTGATTAATCTTAGGTGTATTGATTTATGAGTATTAATTTTATATTTAATTAGATTTTGGAGTTTAATTAGTATAATTAGAAGTTTTTTGGGTTGCTTTTAAAGGGAATTTATTTTCGATATATTAAAAATTAAATTAATCTTTAGGACTGACTGCCTAATCAGTTATTTGGAATTAAATTAGAGGTACATCTGGAGATTAGAATCGATTTTATTATTAGTAATTACTATCGTCATTCAACTCTTATGATATAGGATATCTAATCTATATTAACACAATAATGATACATCAAAAAACTCAGTAATTGTTTCAGCTTCTCTTTTCAATTTATTTTAATGAATAATTTATTAAGAAATAGATAATTAAAAGAATGTAATTAAACTAGATTGAACTTCTGGATCCTCATTTTATAAAAAATCTAAATTAATTCCACTTTTTAAAATGGCTAGTAAATTTATTTTTGATGGATAACCTATTTTTTATAATATAGAGCAAAAAGGTTTTGTTATTAATTTAATAGTAGATTCACTATTTTACAATTCTTATTTTAAAGATTGAATTGTTTATTATAACATTAAAATTGTATTTTTATGTTTTTAAATTTCTAATGATTATGATTTGATTTTTTATTCATTGTTATTCTTTTCTTATTCAAGTTTTATTATATTATATTGAGCTTACTAATAATTTTATATTAATTTTTCATAATCTTTTATAGTAAATTCATCATTTACTTATTTTAAATATTAATTAATTCTTTATTTCAATTCATACAAACTATCTTCATCTAATTCTGATACAAAAAGCTGATAAAATTTAGAATAATGAATCCATCTTGTAAATGCACATCTCAAAGTAATTTTTCTTATTAATTAAGGATCAGATAAATCTTTTTATTAAATTTTTAATTATTTCTCAAATTCTTATGATAAATTAAATTATTATTCTTTTAATTTTTATTCTAAGACTTCTTAAAATTAATCATTAATTTTATTGATATCTTCTTAATGAGATGTTAAAAGTTCATCTATTATCTATTCTTTATTTTTAATTTCTTATTTCATATTTGATATAATTTAAATATTGTCATCTATCATAATTTTTAATTATTCTTCATATAATTATTTTTATCTATTAAACATTCTACCTCCAGCTGAATTTTTAGAAATAAGTTCATCTATTTCTCTATAATTAATTCCATATCCACCAATTTAATTTTCAAACACTTAAAAAATTATTTTATTACCAACTTAATCTTATATTTGTTTCCAAATCTTATATGGATCTTTTTCTATAAGAAATAACATTTTAATTATGGATTATAAAGTATTATTTTATAATAAAACTTAAATAGTTCTCTTATGTGATTCACATTCAGTACTTAAAGCAGTTAATTCTATTTTATATCTTTAAACAGTTTATTAACATTATTTCTATAATTAATTAAACTTATCTTAAATATAGTTCTATAATTCAGGTTCTAATGATTATTTTATATCAAAATAATTAACTTCATAAAATTCAGTACCTGGATTTTCTAGTTACTTTAGAAACTAAAATAAAAGATTATATTTACCATTAATTTAAGATGTTATATATCTTTTAAATAATTTGTAGTCATTTATAAAATTTATTCATCTCTTTTAATTACTTTAAGGTTAGTTTCATATAATAACTACTGAAGAGTATTTAATTGAGTTATATCATTATCTGTTGTAGTAATATCAGTTGGTTTGTGTTCTAATAAATTTATCTTGTTTATTTTAGACTTTTTTTATATGATGGAATCATATTCATCACTTGAACTTTATTCTCCTGATTAAAAACCTTCATTCATAAATATATTTTTAAAATGGTTCTTCTTCTAAATTGAATTCAAATATTATTATATATTAAACATAGTTTTATCAATCTCTGCAATTGTAAAATATTATTCAATATCGTATTCTATTGGAATATGAAAAATGTAAATTACACAATCTTTTACAAACCTCACTATATTGGTTTATAAAATATCCTATTTTAATTTCAAATCCATACATTTGTCAAAGAATATTCTTCTAATTACTATTTGAGAGTATAACATAGTTTATCAATCAATTTTAACATTTTTAATTCTTTTATATTAATAAATATAAAATGGATAAAGTACTATTAGAGATTATAGTTACATTAACTTTTAATCATGAGAGAAAGTTCTATAATCTATTTAGCTTAATCAAGTTATTAATTTGAATTCCAATAAATGAATAAATTCTATTGGATTCACAAAATCAAATTGTTTTTGGGAGATATTTAGGAATTTATTGTAATTTAGATATATCATTTTAAAATCATTATCAAATTAACTTCCATTTATGCTATCAAAAAGGAAAGGATATTATCATATTTATTATAAATAAAATAATCAGCCAATAAATGAAAAAATATCAAAAGGTAGTAGAAATACAGATTAAAAAAAGAATCTATTAATTGCATTTCATGGATTCAAATTAGATTTTGCTTTAGAACCTATTAAAAAAAGTCAATTAAATAAGTTTTACAAGAAGAGAGTAATTGCTTTGCATATCTAAAGTTGAATGTCTGAAATGAAAAGTATTTGAATATGTTTTCAGCAAAGAGTCATGATAAATTGAATATACCTAGTGCTTGAATTTTGATTATTTTATTCATCATATATCAATACTTCTTATAATTTAAAATAATTAATTAAATATTTGTTAAGAGAAAATCAAATTTAATATTAATGGATAATAAATTGAGAAGTGTTGTTTAGTTTTCTCTATACACTCTTTTATTTTCAGTTAAAAATACAATGGATTTTGGCTAAAGAATAGAATATACACTCTATGTATAAATTTAATTTGATTAGGCTATTTATTTAATAAGTTGTTTATTATCCTATTATTATCTATCAAAGTTTATTAAAACATATTGTAAAAAATCTAACTAAATGTATAAATATATGTAAAGAATGAAGATAAACATTAACCAAGATACTTTTAATAACTTTAATATTAAATTGTTTGCCATTACAATATCTATTAGGTGATTAATTTCAATAGATATATCGAGATTATACTGAATTGATTAATCAAACTATCTTATTTTACACATGGTTAGAGATGTTTGAGCAATAAAAGAAAAAAGAGAATGTTGAATAATAATCTATTAAGCCTATATCTATATTTAAAGTACTATTTTGTTTTGGTTATCAAATAAATTCAGGTTTAGAAATAATAAATCGTAATGTAATTCTAATTGTAGATTGATTATTTTAGATATATTAAAAGGAAAGAGAATATTAAGTGCTTTTAGGATTGGAATTACTTTATGGAGTAGTATTTCTATTTTAATATGGCTTATATATAAAATATTATTAAATAAGAGATGTTAAAACTAGTGCTAATTTCAAATAGCATGATCCCTTTGATGATGAATTAGCAGATTCAATACCAAATGAAAATGATAAAGAAATTATGGTTTATGATTTTTTCAGATATTCTGTTATTGCATGCTTAGGATTGATTATAAACACAATAGTGAAGGTTTATTAATATGAAAGATCAAGTATGAGTTATTTAAAATAAACTGGAATTATTGTGGTTTATATAATATTTGTTTCAAATTTGATTTAAATTGCTGAAGATAAACAAATAGAACATAAAAGTTTTTTGGAATTGAGTAATAAATAAACTGAAAATGATGATCCCTTATAGATTTGATAGGTTTTTGCAATATATATTATATATAATAATAAAATATGAACGTTTAATAAAATAAGACATCATCACTTAAGGATTTTTAAATCATTTAAGAGTTAGGAAAGGGATCATTTAGTACAGTTTATAAGGTACTTTTAATGTTTAATAATCAGGTGAAAAGAATAGCAGATGGATAAGAATATGCATTAAAGAAAGTGAAATTAGGATCTTTAAAATAGAAAGAAAAAGAAAATGCATTAAATGAAGTTAGATTATTGGCTTCTATTAATAATAAATATATTGTAGCCTATAAAGTAACTTAAAAATAATAAAAATAGGACGCTTTTTTTGATGATGAATCTAGATGTTTATGTATTGTAATGGAACTTTTATCAGGAGGTGACGTGTATCGTAGAATTACATAGGCTTTAAAGGGAGGACCACAATTCTCAGAATAAGATGTATGGAAAGCCTTGATTCATATGATCTTAGGGTATGACATAATAGTAAAATAGATTGAAAACACTTCATGATTAGAAGATAGTGCATAGAGATTTAAAATCAGCAAATATATTTTTATCTAGAGATGGAACATTTAAATTGGGAGATCTGAATGTGTCAAAAGTGGCTAAATAGGGATTTGTGTATACTTAAACTGGAACACCATATTATGCTAGTCCAGAAGTGTGGAGAGATGAACCTTATAATTTAAAAAGCGATATTTGGTATATAAATTTAAGTATATTTAAGGTCTTTGGGTTGTGTTCTTTATGAAATGTGTTGTTTGTAAACACCCTTTAGAGCAAAAGAAATGGATGTTCTTTTTTAAAAAGTATAAAAAGGTTTATATGATTAAATACCTGCCAAATATTCCAAAGATCTAGCCTATATCATATCTTTATTATTAAAAACATAATCTTCATCAAGACCAAATTGTGACGAATTATTATAAATTCCAATTATTCAAAGTAGAATGAGGGATATTGAAACTTATGTTAATAATTAACCATAAAATTAAGAACTATTAAAGACTATATAAATCCCCAGAACTATAGATTAATTAAATTCTTAATTTCCAAAATCTAAATACGAAAATGAAATTATGAGTATTGAAAGAAACATAGAAAATAAATCTACAGAAAATTCATCAAGTCCTTTTAGATCACCATAATAAATAACTAAAACATAATAAGATTCTCGATTAAGCTAAGGAAAAGATAAATAAATAATTGATATCACCAAAAGTATAGCTTACATAGAAAAATAGAACAAACATCCTTTGTTAGTTGAAGGACCAAGACCATCTGCAACAAGAAAAATTGAAAAACCAAAATCTGCCTAACCACAGCTTCGTAACTAGAAGGATGAATAAGGATAATAATAATTAAGTAATTCTAATGTAAAGAATTCACAAATTAATAAATACAATGAATCTGAAAATCTTAGAATAAAAAGGGAAAATGACCTTAAAGCTATGTAAGAACACTAAGATTTAAAATATCGAGAGCTAAGAGACTTGAAATAAGTCCGAGATGCTTCTAGAGGTATAAATACTGAAAATAGACAAGTTTCACCTATTTCTTAAACTAGATAAAATGGATAATATGGACAATATCAATAATAATAAGGAGTATAAAAACAATCATATTCTCCTATTACTAGGAAAGTAGAAACACCTTAATATAATAAGTAAATATATTAATTAACAATTAGTAATAGAATTGTACAAAGTCAAATATAAAGTAGACCATAAATCAATCAATCTGTAAATATTAGTAATCCAAGTTTATAAATTCATCATGAAAACTTAACAAGCAAGAAATAATAAATTCCACAATCAGCAGCACCAAATACTTAAAAATACTCATCAAATCAATAATAGAGACCAATATCTGATAGATATTAACATCCTTAATCTGCATTACCATCAAGAGTAGAATAACAGAAATTAGAAAGATAATAAGTATTTCCAGTTTAAGCAAGAGTAAAGACTAAACAAATTGAACAAAAAAATTAATCAATAAAATAGACAAGGCCTTTATCTTCAAATTTGATTCCTAATGAAAGATTAGTAAAATAAGAATACTAACCATAATGTAATTAAATACATGTTAATTACAACCATTATTATCCAATTGAAACATATTAAAGACATGCATCTGATTAAAATTTAATCAGATATTAGTAATTTGATTTTATTATAAATTTTAGATAACGATAATAAAATAGATAAGTAAGGCAAAATATTGAAGGTAGAAGAATATGACAAATTATAACTGTGTGTCAATATTTATATGTAATTTCAAGTTTTTATTTATCATTACCAATAACTTCTATTTAATTTTAATTAAAAATTGTTAGATATTAATTTAGAATTATCGATTAAATAATATTTAAAATATTTTACTCTAGCTAAATTAAATAAATTCTTTAATACTAAAACTTTTCAATTTAGAAAGAGTATTTTTTTTTAGATTATATTTATATAGAAAATATCTAATTTTAAATATTTTGATTTAATTATTCATTGTAATCTCATCATTTTTAATGATTTAGTTTCATTCTTGGGAACTAATACTAAATACATAGCATCTCTGGCTATCAATATGTTATGATATATTCCTTAGATAGAACTTTAGTGATCGAATTTACCTTCATTGAATCTCAAAATTTCAACATTTTAGGCCTGTGTATTTTACAAAATAAATATCTTTAATTCTTAATTATAACAAAATGGTAGATTGTATTACTTATTTTAAGGCAATATATTTCTTTATATTTATATAAACTTTTCTTCGTCATTTTTTTCATAAAAATAAACTTTATCTGTAGAAGTCACAAAAAACATTTGATCATTAATAAAATAAACCTTATTGTTTTTATTTGGTTCTAATCCACCCAATACATATCCAGAATTAATATCATTCATATTCCATATCTTAACTTATGTAAAAGAACATGAAATTAATTTTTGGGATACTGTATCAATTGCAATTGAACACATCTAAGAAAAGTCTGTATTATCAAAAGTCTTCACTACAATCCAATTATTACTACCAGCTTTTTTCCAAATTTTAATCAATTTGTCGCCTCCTGCACTAAACAATCTAGAGTCATTATCAATTATCTTGAGATCAACAATTTCCTTATGATCATGCGCTTCAATAGTTTTTACATTTGACCATGTATCGTCTTAATTTTTCCAAATCTTTAATTTCCCATCATCAGTACCATAATATATATCATCGTTTGATTGACCAAAGATGATGCATTAAATTAATTACATATCATCATCTTCAATAGAATTATTAATTTTAAGTAGTAATTCTTATTAAATTCTAAAGAATTTTATTTCAAAACCATCTGAATGGGCTAATATGCTATTATCCCTATTAATTAAAATTTAATCCAATTTCGTATTAGAACCAGACCATGATAAAAAGTCTTGATATGTAATTTTTTCTTACGGTAAAGTAATTAATTATTGTTATTATTAACCCTATTGTTATATTATACTGGTCACACTATTGATGTAATCAGTCTTAGCTTGTTGTAATATTTCTTCAAATTCCTTTTGAAATAAATATATATTTTCAAACTCCTCTTCTACTTATTTCAAGGTTGAATCATTTGAATTTTTTGCATTAAAAGATCTATTATTATTCTTAAAAGTCAGAAAATCTTTTTATTAGTCTAAATACTATTCTATCCTATTTTCTTAAACAGAAAAAAAACCATTAAGAGATTCTCTTTTTTTATCCATAGCTTCTAAATGAGATTTCATTTTTAAAATTAAATTTTCTTAAACTTCTACCATTTTTTTCTTTGATTATCTCAATTTTTCTAATATTTCTTCCTATTTTTTCTTCATTAAAGTTTTTTTTTTTTCTTTGTATTCAAGTAAAATTTAATTAGTTTCCTCAAAGCATATTATACACAAAGGTTCTCCTTTTTCGTTAATTGACTCGATTTTCTAACCATGTTTTCTACAGTTAGAATCCATTGTTTGAATATTAATGATTTATTTTTAATAATATAAAATAAGATTTGCTTCTTGCCTATTTCTATTAAAATTTTTAGATATTTATAAAAAAAATAATATTTTGTTAATAAATTTATAATATAGAAATAGATGCTCATTCAAAATATTCAATTTATATTTATTTAATTATTTCATCTGCAGAATTGAATTAGAAATTTTCATATTCTTCTCCTCCATAATGTTTAGAAACAATGATATAAAATTGACTAAGCAATGATAATGAATTCTATATAATTTCTTTAATTTAAATCTAAAGTGAATATAAATTATTACTTATATTTAATCGAATGTGTTTCTATCTAAATAGTTATTAAGTTTAAGATTTATCTCTTAAATAAAATCAATAATATTTTCATAAAATAAGGAATAAGATCTCTTTATTGAACCTTATGATATCAGTTAATTGAAATCCTTTTGTGCTTAACCTAATTTCTATTCATCCTTTTCTATTAATTTTCATTAAAATTTTTACCTTCTACTATTTTATGTTATAAATACTAATAATTTCTAATATATTAAATTAATGTTTTAGCAACTATAAAAGTCATATCTTTAACAAACTAAAACAACATCAAATTCTTTTGATTCATAAGATTATTCTTCCAATCAACTTCATATTAATTAATTTTTGGCATTCCCTTATATACAAATTAAAAGAAATTTGTAATGTAAGTCCATAATTTTTCTGGAGATCTCAATTCTACCCATTAGATTTCTGGTCTTAATTATCCTGTAATTAATTAAAGTAAAACTGCTTTTGTTTCACTAAAATCAAGTTCACTTTCCTTTACTATATAATCTCCACCTAATTATGCTAATCCATCACATAAATATATAATATTCTTTAAATAAAATATATAACTATCAAATTTAACCTAATATAATATAATTGTTTACATCAAATTATTCTGCAACTAATTTCAATTAAGAATTGATTTCTCTTAATGTTTCACCAGCCAATTATCTAAAAATTACTTAATCTACTGATCTTTGCATTTTTGTAATTAGATCTAATCCAAATATAACAACAGGATAAAGATCACTTCTTTAAATCTCATATCCTTTTGGAATTGGTTAAGTTTTTAGGAATTTATGAATCACTAATTTTTATTTTTATCTGATGTAATCTTTTGGAGAATATTAATATATTTTCTATTGTATTTAAACTTAAGATGATTATATAGATTTGTGAATAATATCTAAATTTATTTTTTCCATAAACAAATTCGTAAATATATTTAAGTAATTCTAAAAGCATTCCACAATTTAGTTTTAATCCTATTAATATATATTGTTTCAATACTTTTCCTTATTAGATAATTTAAAATATTGGATATAAATAATCTTATTAATCTAATGAATTCTCTTTTATTTTTTAAAATACTTTTGTTGTATGAGTTTTCAATTATAATAATGATTCACTAATCATTACTAATTAATCTAAATTATATATTTTCTATAAAAATATTCTCATTGTTTAATAATAATTATCAAGAATTTTTGATAAATGTTATTTATCATTTTCTTTGACAATTCTTAAATTTAATCTAAAAAATATTCTTGAATAAAATGCTTCAATAACTGTAGTTTCAAATATAATACCACATAAAGCCTCGAATACCAATATTTCTTATTATTTTTATAAATGCTAATTACTAACTAATTTTTGTTATATTAAACTCTAATTAATTTTATGTAAAATCTAACCTGTTTAATTTAGATTATTTGATTATTTATTAATCATTTCATTAATTTATTAATGTAAATTTAATCTATTGTAAAAATTGTATTATAAAAATACATCATTATATAATGAATATAAATCCTAATCACCTTAAATTTAAGATTCAATATAAAGAAAAAGATCTTTCATTTATTCTGTAATGTTGAATTTTTAAAATTCCTCTTCATATTAATAATTATTTTTAGTTTAAGCATCTTTGAATTTCAATTATGGAATCATTTATGGAAATATTATCTATAAAAATTATAATTTTAAAGGGTTTGGTTAAAGAATATGATTGTCATTTGCATTAAAATCTTAATATCCAAAAAATCTTGGAGGATAAAATACACAAATTAAGTCTTTTAATTGTGAAAACTTTTAATTGATAAATTGGGATTCTTTATTTAAAAGTTTCATTAAAGAACTTTTGCAAGTGCCTATTAATTTTTTCTTCAATTATTAATATTATATAATGCATTTATCACTTTAATAATAATTAGGTTTAGAAGAAAAGAATATTATGCCTTCTTAAATTTCGCTGATTAATACTTAATAATTGATTTCTTTTTTATCATCATTCTCTAATTCTTTTTAAATTTTTTAGATATTATAATAATATTGAATGTTTTCTTAAATTTGATATTGATATTCTAATAATTCCTTTTATTTATTTATATGAATATTAGCTTCTTAATGAAATTAACTTATTTTTTATACAATCTTGTCTTTATCATCATTCAATTTTTTCAACTAATCACAAATTATCTCTAAATTTTAAGTTATGCTTTATAATGATGATAATTTCTATTAATATTATCCTTATATCATTTCCAATCTAAAGAAATCATCATTTTTCTTATCACGTTTCTTATAAAATTGAAAATTAGTTGTCTTATCTTTTTCTTACTATCCCTTTTGTTGTTAACTTTCCATTTAATCTATTATTTCTTATTCTTATTAAGTTAAAGCATTGTTTAATTCCCATTATACTATATTGATTTACATAAATTATTTTAAAATATTTATATTTATACTTATAATAAAATAATTAAAATGTTAATTTCATCAATACTTGGATGGAGTTCCTTATTTTTAATCACAAACTATTCTCTTTATAAATTCTATTTTACTAAACCCATAAAGGCTTTAACCTTAGCATAAATAGTTAAAAGAGACTTATGGAAATGGAATTTTTTAAAATGGAAATCCTTTATAAATTGTTCCCCCTATTAAATAGAATTAAAGTTTGGATTAAATCATAAACCAATAAGTGGGAATTATGTTTAATAAGTCAATTCAACAATAGGAGAAATACATACATTATTTATCAACAATCAGAATAATTATTATCATTTAACAAATATGAATGTGAAATAAATTTATGATTTTCAAGCAGGAATGAACTAATTATTTTATTATAATTTTCATTCTGATTACTTTTTATTGTCAATTAATCATAAAGTTGATGATGAAAATAATACTTATAATATTTTAGTGTAAAGTAAGGAATTTACAATTAAAGAAGAGGAAAGTAATATAGAGGAATTGGCAAAATAATATGTATATTTAATTTTACAAAATACTTAAGAGATAGTAAGGATATGTTAAAATTTTGGGAATAAAACTATGGATATTGATTTTATTGATAGAATAATAGTGAATACAATAAGGAATGAAAAGATTATTGAATATATAAATTTAGATAAAAGATGGTTTGATTAAAATGAACATTGTAATTAAATAATCTATAATAGTATTGGTGTGTGCTATGAAGTTGGATGAATAATACAATTTAATTAACATAAAAAAAATTAATGACAAAAAAATAGTAGATCTCTAGGAAATTTATAGTACAGTAATTAATAGTTTAAAGAATAAAACTATTTTATATTTAAATTGAATATGAATGTTATTAGATATTTTAATATAATTGATTCAATTTTTTCATATTTATAACTTTTATTAGACAGATCTTGGAGTAGTAAGAGTTTTAAATGATATAGGTTTTTATTGCATTTTTGATTTGATATTATTACTAATTTAATGACAAGTCTTTGCTCCAATATTCCTTGTTGATAAAAGGTTGTTATTAAGTTTTCTAAATATTTATTGTATAAAGGACAATACCTTGATGAACTATCATGAAATGTTTGGGTTTTGCCTACTTTACTATAGGATTTAGGAGTCATTTTGGAAGTACATTATGTTTTCATATTTCTTGGAGATTTGAAAAAGTTTTCTTTTTTATCTTCACCAAAATGTACACTCTTGATTTCTCTAGATGGATCTTTATTTTATATTAAATTTCTTTTCTTTAATTAAATCTTTTCATTTACTCTTTTATGTACTTCATAAATATATAAATTACATTAGTCTAAAATTTGTTGATGTATTAATTTTGGTTTTGGTGGTTCCAATTAACCACATTAATCAGGATGAATGATTTTTAATTATCTTTTTTAACATGTTATTAATTATTTAATATTTTTCATTTTATCAGTTGTAAGAATTTATTATAATTTGAATTCTTTGATGATATTATTATTATCTTATTGTCTTTCAGTTTTTAATTTTTAAATTTTTAAGATTTATTGATGAATATCATTATTATTATTATTATTTATTTAACGATTGACTTTTTCTTAATCTTGTTTTGAATAAGAAGGAGTATTTTGTAATTCATCAAGTACATTTCCAACAATGATTCCGCTTTCAATTGTATGAGAAGGAGGAGTACTTTCTGTTTAGATTGGTTCATCACCTACAATACCTTTTGGAGGTTTTTCTGGATTATTTTTGTTTTCCTCATCAATTATCTTTTAAATTTTGTAATATTCGAGCTTTCTTTTTTAATTGTAATATTCATTCAAAATATTTACAATAGAACTTGAAACAGCCCATCTAGGTAAATCATTATGAAACTAATATATTAATATAATTTATTACTTTATAAAATTCTGTTAAAACTTCCATTTTATTTTCTAAACTATGAGGTTGATATATTTTTTTCATATATTCAACATCTTCATCCAACAATACTAAATCCTAGTTTAAATAATGTAAATATATACTTTAAATACTATATTAGGTTTAGTTGGTTGATCTAAAATGATTTCATTGATATCCTTTGTAAAATAGTAGTTTTGTGATTCAGCATATTTATTATAAAGAGAATTAGTGATCCTCTCTGGTAAGGATACTTTCTTGATAATTAATTTAATTTCAGTCTACCTTTAAACTGCATTTCTTCAAAATTATTGCCATATAAAGTCATCCTAATGGGCTAACAGAAAAGACAATTCATTTAATTAAAAAAAAATATTAATAATAATTAAAAGTAAAAATAATATATCTTCATTTTCTTAAAGCAATGCTATTACTTTTTAACTATTTTTAATTTACAATCTTTCCAGGTTATCTTAAAATCATTGTAATTGATCTTTCTCTTGTTTATTGTACAATAGGTATTTCCACTTAAGAACCTTATTTATTAAATGATTATCGAATAATACAGCCTTATTTTTAAGTTATTTAGGGTCTAGCTAACTTATACTATAATAATATTACTTGGGATTTGAATTATAGAAAGAATTATTATGATGATTATGAAAACTATTATTATTATTATTAACTCGTCTCTTATTTGTAATTTATGAAATAAGAGCAGGTAAATCCAATTCTAATAATTCTTATGCCATAGATTAATTCTGAAAATTATCAATTGAAGAATAATTGACATTAGTTACTCTTTTTGGTTAATAAGGTTTTTTGTCTAGATTATTATTAATAACAACTACATACATTAATTAAACTTATTTTATTATTTTTAACTAGATTTTTGATTTTGTAAATACTCGACACTTTCATTAATATTCTTTTTACTATTCGTTTTACCTTTTTCTGTCAATTCTGTTTTGATTGTAAATGAATTATAATTTTTATTTTCTTTTTCTTATAAATTCCATTTATTTAATTATCTTCTTTCACCTTCATTAGTATTCAGAGTATCAAAAGTGACAGTGTGTTATTTTCTTGTTGAATGTGTATCAACTTGAATTTATTGGAATTCTTGAGGAGTATCACTGTCAAATAAATTAGGAGCTCTTACACTTATAATCTATTAGTCTTTGAAATATAAATTACTGAGCTATTTTATTAATCAATTTTTATGAACTCATCTTCATCTGATGATGAACTATTCTCTGAAGAAATATCAAACACTATGTTTTATTGCATTTTAAATTAATTATTTATAAAAAAGCAGTTAATCCTATTAATATCATTCTTACTTAGGCGATCATAAAATCAACTTATATTCTTTAAATCAAATTGTATGATCTATATTATTAAAGCAATTTAATAAAATTTGTAGAACATATTAATAAATTTAAAATTAGGATCGATCAGTTTTATATAGTATTAGATAGATAATTTAATATTAATGTAAAAATAATACATATGAGTTTTTTGATGAAGTAATGAGAATTTAATAGTTAAAGTTATTACATAATTATTATTTTGATTCTTCTGTTATTGATAAGTTTATTAATAATTATTTCAAATGGAGATGTTTGATCATACAATTAGAGAGTTATTGAGTAAAAACACAGATATTCAAAAAATAGTAGATTTAGAAAAACTTTCATAATAACCAGGATTTAAGATTGAATAAACTAATAGTTATATTTATATAGGCTAAGTATAAAATGGAATGAAACATGGAACAGGTAGTTTTGGATAATTTATATCTAGGTATTTTGAAAATTTTAGAATCCATTAGAATTTATGTAGGAGAATGGCAAAATGATTAGAAAAGTGGGCTTGCCTATGAAAAATTTTAGAGCGGAGCTGAATATTTTGGAAATTATGATAACAATAAATAAAATGGTTATGGAGAATATGTTTGGGCTAATGGGGAGAGCTATAAAGGAAATTGGATAGATGGGAAGAAATGTGGATATGGAGAATGGTTTGGATAAAATACTTCGTATAAGGGTGAGTGGAACAATGGTTATGTTGAAGGAAAGGGAGTGTATTAATCTGAAAATGGTATTTTTGAGCTCTTAAGTAAGGGGATTAGTATACAGGAGACTTTTTGTAATCTATGAAACATGGATTAGGAGAAGAATTATTTGCTAATGGAGACAAATATGTAGGAAGTTTTAAAAACGGGAAGCCAGATGGCTATGGAGAATATTTTTGGAAAAATGGAAGTTTATATCAAGGTGAAGATAGAGTTAATTATAGGTTTCTTTATGGATGGCATGAGACATGGGCATGGAGTCTGGCAATCTAATATTTAAGGTAAAATAGATAGGTACGAAGGAGCATATTCTAACGATAAAAAATGTGGATACGGTGAATTTGTGTGGTCTAATGGGACTGTCTATAAAGGAAATTATTTTGATGATTATAGGTAGGGATATGGTGAGATGTATTAAAATGGAGTTATCTTTTATAAGGGAGAGTGGGATCGAGGAATATAAGTGGAAAAATCAAACACAAGATTCAAATTTTAATAGAAAATGAAAACTCAAGAAACTACAATAAGGAAATGGAAGTTCAATAACATAGATGAAATTTAGGAATTAGAAGAAGAAACAGTAACTTCTGGAGCTGAAGCAAGAAATGAAAATAATCACAAAATAATCTAAAAGAATTCCTAAAAATATCGTTTGAAAACCTTAAATATCGAGAGCAAACCATAAAATAATGATTTTACTCCTATGAAAAGAAGTCTTTAATTATAGAAAAAGGCTACACCTGTAATAAAAGCAAGAAGTCGAACTCAATCAATTGGCAGTTGTAAAATACCAATTCTATAATAAAAATAAAGATCAAATTCGAATTAAATTACTAACAACTAAAAAATAGAACAACTAGTTAAATTGTCCCCTTATAAGCAAGCACTGAGAAGTGGAAGATTTAAATTATAAAAAATATAACTATGAAATCAAATCTGATATCATCTTTTGTGAATATAGTAATAAAGTTTTTAACTAATCATTATTCTAATCTTTATCTACAAACTGGACAAGTATCATTTATTTCAGCCCATGGCCGAATACAATCTGAATGAAAAACATGATTTGGATTGCAAGTGAATTTTACAACTAGATCATCATTATTATAAGGTTATAAACAAATATAGCAAGGTTAAAAAGTTTGACAATTCAAATCAGAATATTTAATTTAAGTTCCTATTAATCTAATTGCTTGCTCTTATCTTCTTCTTTCTTCCTCTCTTCTCTAACGATTTACTCTATATATTAAAAAGGGCATTATAAAACATATAGCAAGTAAACCAAGAGCAATTATTGCTAAGACAATCCATCCAAACATCAATTGAACAACTAAAATCCATTTACTAAGCAATAGAGTATTTTACAAAAACACTACATTTCCTAATCCAAACATTATGATATAAACAAATTCATTGCATTTACTTAATGCTCCATGATTTCCCTTTACTGCAGCCCAAACATCAATTTAATCATTTAATTGTTCAATAAATTATCTTGAGCCTTCTGAAATTATTTCTACAGTTTTTTTTATTTTGATAACACTAAATAAGTGAAATGAGTATTGTAACAATCTCCAAATCAAATAAAAAATAGATGCCTTTTAATATTCATACAACCAAGGTAATGAAATATAACTTATTACAATGATTAATTATATATTTAAATACAATTACATTGAACTTAGTGAACTTCTGATCTTTTTACACTGCTCTTCGATTTCTACTAGCCTTTCTATAAAGATTTAATCATCCATTTTAATTAAATATATATAAATTATTTAAAATATTTAGTATAAACTCTAAGGCATTTTAAATGATATCAGAAAAAGATATTTCTTTAATCATTATTAAATAATTCAATAATATTATTGAACATAATTTATAAAATTCAAGTAGGATTGATTAATTTAAGATTAATCTGAATATATAAAAAAACTTATGGAGTTGCTATAAAGTATTCCATTTAAAGATTTTGCTTTTATATGTTAACTTTGAAAAACTTCATTGTATGGACCCAATAAGCTTAATAATAAATTACATATAGGGTGATTAATCTCAAATTCTATTGAATTATTATGTAAATAATCTTATGGCAGTTATGGATCTAAGATTTATTATTATAAAGGAATCAAATGAAATTACTTATTACTTTAAAATGACATTTCAAATTTTATTAAGAATTATTCTTATTAAAAGTTGATATTATGATCTCTTTGTTTTTATAAACATTTGTTTTTTTCATCAAAAAACTCCAATTAAGAAACCTATAATTTTATTAGGCTATTATATTTGGATTATTATAATGCTTATTCATATAGATTGAGAATAATCTATGTTAGGTAATTTTATTGAGTTGAAATTTTCATAAATTCATTAATAGAAATTTGTAATTCAAATATTCTATTTTTTTATTTGGCTATTTTGGATAAAAAATAACTTAATTTTTGAATGTATTAATTAAAATTGATTATTTCAAATTCAAGTTTAGAAGTTTTGATTTTATCACTATTAATAAGTACAATAATATTTTTAATTTTATTTAATGTTAATATATTAATGCATTAAACTTTTTCTAATATATCTTATTATTTATCACATCTAATAATTTAATACAATAATTCATGAGATTCAGCAATTTACTTTATTATTTAATGGATAATTGTTTTGTAATATACAATTTTTTATTCATATTTTTCAATTATTTTAGAGATTGTTTTTTTCTTAATTAATATCAATAAAATAGGTTTTCCAAAAAATATTTTCTTTATTTCAATACTCAAAAGGGTTTATTCATTTTAACTTACATGAATTCCTTCAACTGTTATTTAAAAATTATCCCTGCATTTTATTATTTTACAAGCAAACTCTTCTAAAGTTTATTACATTTTAATAAATGGCTTCTTGAGAGTTCCTTCTGTAGCTTTCAATCCTAGATTTTATTGATCCAATTCAGATGTTAATTTATTGTCTAATAAGACTTTGAATCTTAAAAATTATTTCAAAAAGCTAGAATCGCTAATAAGATATTCTCTTTATGCTTCTTTATTTGAAAATTCTAGATCAAATAATTATCTATTTTCACTTAAGCTAATCGCAAAAAAAGGGCAATCTACATATTGATTGATGATTTCTCTATTATAAGATGGTAAACTTATACTTTTATTTAATGTTAATCTATTCCAAAGAGAAAGCTAGTCTTCTCATGTATTCATTATTATGAGCTTATACAGCCAATAAAATTTGTGCAAAAAAAGCTAAGAATATAAACTCTAAGTTGTCAATTGAATAAATTCCAAGTACACCCATCTACACGGCTGGAATAAATAAAATAGCTGACATTTTTAATTTAAAATGACTATATTATAACATTGGCAAAGCCAAGGTGGATGTGCTAAAACCATACATATATTGGGGGCTATATAATAGTTTAATTTCTATACATTTTCATTCCACTTTTTGAAATTGCTAAACTGGTTGCTATGTGCCATAATAAGAGAAGGAAATTGATATAGATTAAATAAGGATTTAATCTATGGCTTAGCATATATAGAAGAAAGAGTGATCCAACAACAGCTGATATCATAATAATTATCATCTGGGATTGATTTTCAATCAGAAATACCATCAAAAATAGTAAACATAAAACACAAACTAAAAGAGTAAAGATTTTAAAATTATTGAGTCTATATTAATTAATATATTATTAGTAGAGATCTTCTTATTCTTAGTGCTAAAAGTTTAAAGACCATTTATTAAAAGGCAGATTCATTATGTAATTAAGGATATTATTGAATGTAATAAAAATTTATAATAAATAATAAACTTAATTAAATGTAAATTGTTGAATTGTGAAAAATGTAAGAATCAAACCATCCAACCACTTTTAACAGCAACTTCAAATTCTCTATCATCAGTTACACAAAAACTCATTATGTGATAATATTGTTCAAATTCTTCTTATGATACATTATTTGAATTAAATAATTGATGATGGCTATCAAAAGTATCTAGAAAATCTATCAAGACTTCGTCATCTGACATTTTTTGTCTAGGTCTAGCAAGAAAGTTTTCTATATATATATTGTATATTTTATTTACTTTTCATATCTTCAAAATTGGTTGACTGTAATTTTCTGTAGGCCATTTGAACTAAATTCAATCTCCAATTTTAAAATTCTCCTAAAATCTTTTCTAAAAATGCTTTCATAGAAATTTCATTTTCTATAATAAAATATGATATATATTACTTTAATTTAAGATTTATCTAATATATTATTAATTGACTTAAACTCTTATTGAATTGAAACCAACATATATTCCTTATGCATCATATCTCATAATATTTCTTAACATATAAATTATGCCTCTGTATCCTTTAGATTTTAATTTTTCTAAAACATTATCTATTTTTTGTAATTATTATTATGCATATGTTAATCCTGCAGGATTTATATTTTATTATTTTTAAATTTATTAGCTACTTAATGGTCTTAATGCTGTGCTGTAATCTGTTTTTTCAGCACTAGTTCCAAAGGGGGCATATTAAGCAACGCTAGTAGTTTATTATTAAGGTGGTCTAACATAAGTAAACACATTGATCAGATTATTTTCAAATTATTCAGGTTAACAAGCATAAAGAATATGACAATATTCATAAAATTCAGCAAATGTGACATTCTTACTTCCCATTTTATGATGAGCATCATATGAATCCAAAAATTCTGCAAGTTATTCAGTTTCACTTTTTAATTATTTTTTAACATCTGGATGATTTCTTGCTTGATAACATTATTTTAATAGTTAGTATGGAATAACACCATCCATATCAATATCCATTTACTCAAATATTTATTTAACAATATTAGGTTAATCAAAAGGTCCAAGCAATTCAATGAAGAAATCTTAGATATTTACTCCTCCTATTTATTAAGGAAATCTGTAATCTCTTAATACTTTTTAGACTTATTTCTCAGTCAAATAACCATCTTAATCATCATCTGCTTGAATCAATAACTTTTTTAAATTAATTAATGCTTTTGGACCTTTTTTAACAAGTGCTGATCTCAATTCTGTTAGATCTAATTCATTAAAATCTAATTTTCTAATTGGAGTATAGATTGTGCTTCTCTCTCCCAACCATTAAGCTTTGATATTACCTAATTCAAGAATATGATTGAATTCATCGAATTAACTTTGTGATAACAATTTGATATTCTTGAATCTCATATAGCTTTACAAATATTTTCTAATTTTTGTCTTGTCTCCTTTAAACATATCAATAATTTAATCAATATTAAATGAATCTACTTTAAAGCCACTAGGTTTAACAACTCCTCTAAATGCTTCTACTACTTCTTCTATTCTTACAAGATTGTTTTAATTGAAATATTAGAATAGAGCTCTAACTTTTTCTTCAGGATATTAATAAAATAAGTATTTAAATTATGCGTAATTATACTCTTTACAGTTTAATTGTTCTAGCCAATCAAAAAATAAATCTAACCCATTTTCCCACATTTTTTTTTAAAAGTAGAAGACTGCTGATTCTGGTGATTAGTATACTCTCTAAATAAAACTCTTGTAATTCAATTACCCGTTCTACTGATAATATTTGAACAAAGAAGTGATTTACTATGTTATATTAAAATTATATACATCTTTTGGAAGAGTGATACCAACTTTTTCTAATACAGCTTCAAATTATTATTAATTGACAACATTCGATTATTTAAGGTCATAGTATTAAAATGATTTTAATAATGTTTGTTCTTCATGAGGGGATTTAAGACTCAACCTCTTTTTTAATTCACTCTCAAATTATGCTCTAGATTCTGCCATGCTAAAACTATAACAGAAATAATAATAATAAAATTTTATTTTAATATCATGTGAAAAAGTGTTTATAATATTTTTTATTCATTCATATCTCCAAATTATTACTATCTATATAATGATTTGTAAAATAGGTTTTTTACTAATTAATTTTCATTTATTTCGATAAAGTAGTTAAAATGATTTATTTATATAATTATTTATTTGATATATTATTATTTAATGAAATCAATAAGATGGTTTAATTAAGAGAATAAATTATAAGAAAATAAATTCATCTTCCTAACTGATCAAAGCAAAAGTAAAAGGATAAATCTTGATTTATAAGACTCAATAGATTTCACAAATCCTGTCTGTCTATTATGTAATTTCAAAATGAATTGTTTATTACTTCAATAATAAAATAAGCTTGTATTTGGAAACATTCACTGTAAATTGTGATTATCATTGATAAAGTAAAGTAATAAAATTACCATATGTAACAAAAGGACAACCAAAATTTATAACAAAATTGAAAATGAAGAAAAAATTGTATTAGTTTAGATTATTGTGAATAAGATGTAAAAAAATAAAATCAGTAAGAGTATATAGTTATTCAAATAAATGGTAAAAATGATTAATATATATATTAGGACAATTATAATTGACGAAGCAAAAATCCATTTATGTAAAATAATCCAATAAAAAATAGATAAGTTGGATTTATTATTGCTTATACTCTGTTTTAAGATTCAATGGTTATAATTATTAATCCTTAAAAAGATAAATAAAGTACTGATTTGAGAAATACAGTGCATTTTCGAGATATTTGGATAGGAATAATCAAACAAATTCAAAGAATGAATCTTTAGATAAATTGGAAAAGGGAATTGTTAATCACTTATGATGATGGAATCACTTCTATATTTAGAAATAATTAAAATTATCAATTTATTATACATGTGTCTTTCAAAATGACTGCTCAGGAAATGTCAACAATAGAAAAAAAAATTTTAGATGAGGAAATATTAATCCAAACCGGATTATAAAATTTCACAATCAATTCATGATATTTGACATTTTTTAACATAAATTTAATGTAATTAGAGAAATCAATTCGTAAACACTTAATCTTGCCCAAGGTTGAGGGTTGCATTAAATTAGAAATCGACACTCAATTAGATTCTCCAAAACGAAGTACGATTACATTTTAATGTAAGGGGAGTGGGCTTATACAGTTAGATCAGGAGGATCTAATGGAATCGGTAGTAGTAATGCAATTACTACGATTACGATTTCATCAGGTAGAAGAATACAATTATATACTCCAATGTAAGAAAGCAAGAGAGCTTAGAGATTGAAAAATATTCCTTATGAGTTATAATATTTCCAAACTAGTTTACCAACAAAAAGCTTTAAATCTAGTCATCTTATGAATGAAGAATTAAGACAAAAGCCAAAAGAATAAATTGAAAATAAATAAAGATGGTAGTTGCATTCTCACTTTAATAAGATGAATCTGGCTTTGACTTAGTATCAAATCAAAAGATTTGAAAGATGTTTAAAAAAAACGGAATCAACAGATGATGTGAATACTATAAAGAAATTAAATGAGGAAAATATTGAGAAGGAAAAATAAAAAGTAATACTATATTTAGATTAATAGAGAAACACATAATATAAATAAGCTACTTAAAATCTAATAAATTCTTTTACAAAAAAATTCAACATCAAAGCATTATATAATGATCTTTAAACAAACTAATAATAATGATTTTAAATTGTGATTAAATATTTATATTAATTGCTTTTTTCTAATTCACTATTCATTTAGTTTAAATAGAGAAATAATTTAATTCTGAATTGAATTAAAAATTGATGATATTTAATAACTGATATATAATTTTCTAATTCAAAAACCTTCATTTAAGTTGATGAATAACAAATTTAATAACAACTATTTTTTCACAATAAATTATGTCATTTATAATGAATTGAAGATGTATTAGGTTGATTAGATTTCTAATTTCAACAACATAAAATTAGATATTCTTGTAGTACACAAATTTGAACAAAGCTATCTAGAATGAATGCAAAAAATAAATTTAAACTTAATGATATTATTATAATTAATAATGAAAAACCTTTATGGTTATTTTATCATCTCCATTGCAATCTCTATTCTAAGCATAATTGCATAAGTCGAAATAATTTAAATTGTAAGGCTGGCTTGTTGCATTCTAAATATAATTGCTATAAGGATCGATAAATTCGTGTTATATGGACTAGCTTTAAATAAGATAATATTGTTTTTGGTTGGAGTGCTCTCTTAATAAAATGAAAGCATCCTTTAAATTATCCTTGATGATCATTTTCTTCCCACTTATTTAAATAATAGACTGCTTATACTCATATGGAAAGTCATCAGTGGTTTGGCTTCTACACTACTAGTCTGTTTGAAATATCAAAATGAAGACCTTAATTCACTCCCTACAACAATACTAATACCATTAATGTATTTCCTGCCATAATCTCAACAGCTTTTTGAAGAATATTTCTCCTCTAAAGATGAAAAAGAAAAATTATATTCAAGTCCCAGACTCCCAATAACTAAGGAGTACTTTCGTATTCGTTCCAGAGTTGAAGAAATTGAATTCAACCCAATAACTTTAGATTAAAATATTTCCATTGATATTAACTAATTAATACGTCGTATAGCGTCTAGTTAGGATAGGTAATTTGTATTATAAGAGATCAGCCTTTTTAATGAATAAGTTTGGAAATTACGAATGAATGCTATGCCTATAGGTATATGCATTATAAGCAATGAAATTAAACCAAAATTTATGAATAACACATTAATTAATATGATTAAAAAGAATTGTATTGAATAGAGTGACAATAACCTTGAAACTATTTATTCGTTGTTTATGAATCATCTTTAATTTAAAAGAATTGATTACGTAGGACCTTATGATTTACCTCATTCAGCTATTTTTAAGAATGAAAGGCATAATATCAAAAATCAATAACAACAAGGTTCAAATTTTTTTGAGGATGAATAATATTGTTTGAAAGACCTTATTTAGAAAATAGAAGAAGGATAACTAGATAGATGTTTAAATGATTAAGAATAAATTATTGAGCTATTTTCAACTTTTGAAAGTCCTAATAATCAAAGATAAGTGTTTTTCGATTGTAGAGTTCTATTTTAAGAAAAATAAAAAATAGACTATATGGTAATAATTTAGGACTTTACTAAATAAAATGAATTATCAAAATTGGAGGAAAAAAATAAATTTAAAACAAAAGTTGTTTAATCATTTTCGCATGAATTGCGAACTCCCTTAAATAGTGCAACTATATTTTTGCGAACTGCAATTGGAGATACAAAATTGGATAAAATAATTAAAGACTAGTATTTATAACCATGTTTATCTGCTTTAAAATTATAAAATCATTTAATTAATGATATAATAGATTTCAGTCAAATAAATGCAAAACTATTAGATCTTAAATTCAGTTAATTCAATTTATAAAAAATAATTAATGAAGTAACTGAATAATTTAAATTTCAATTCTAATTTAAGTAAATAGGTCTTGCCTTCGAAATTAGCAGACCTATATCTCTCTTAACCTAAATAAAAACAGATTACCAAAGATTATTATAAGTCTTAACAAATATCATTTAAAATGCATTAACTTACTCAGAAACTGGGTATGTATTAGTAAAGATAGACAGCTGGGATTTAAATGAGATTGAATTTTCTATAAAAGATGAAGGAATAGGATTGACAAGAAAATAACTTACTTCAATTAGATAGATTATAAATTAAGAACAATAAACTACTACAAGATCATAATAATGGCAAGGATTTGGCTTAATAATTTGCTAAATGTTGTTGCGATATTTATCTCCGATTAATCGAAATAGTATTAAGATTGAATCAGATGGTTAGGATACAGGAACAACTGTAAAATTTATAATATCAAATCATATATCAGCTTAAACATAAGAATAAACTTATGGTTAATAATCAAAGAAATCTATTCCCAGAATGAGAAGCATGCCTACTTTGAGAGCAGAATATGGATTATTGATTAGCATTAAATCAAAATCTCCAAGCAAAATATTATTGTCTAAAACAAGTGAATAAGATGAATGTGATTTATCAAGTGCCTCAATCAGAGAAATTTCTGGTAAAATACATCGGTATGAATTGAAACATTGTTCGATTGAACTATTAAATTAAAGAAAGCCTTCATGCGCTACTCCATAAAAAAATAATAACATTTAAAGCAATAATAATAATAAATTAAGTATTAGATAATCTTCATAGTAATTGTCATTCAAAGAAACTGGATCAACTCTTCTGTGTTGTAGTACTATTTTAAGTGTTGATGATGAAGTTTTTAACCAAAAATCTCTACAATTGCTTTTAGGCTAATAAGGGATGAATGTGGATATTGTATAAATATTATTATGTCAAGTTAGGTCTTTAATGGTAGGTAAGCAATAGAGAGAGTGTAAAATCCTACCAAATGTTGTTCCACTTGTTCTGGATATAAGATGATTCTTATGGACTGTTAAATGCCTATAATGGATGGATGGAAAACAACTAGAAAACTAAGAGAAATGATGCTGAATCAATAAATACCTAAAATTCCCATTATTGGCCTAACTGCATTTACAAGTAATGAAGATGTGGAAAAATGCAAATAAGCCGGGATGTAGCATGTACTTCATAAACCATTAGACATTTAAAAGCTTTAATTCATTTTAGCTGAACTTCGTATAATTTGATTAATAATTATATATTAATTATGATTATAGCCAATTTGATAAAAAGATATTATTAGTATTAAGGAACTATGATTAGATGTGACAAATTATTTTTTATTAATTTGGTTTTTTTTTGTGTTGTGATTAAGAATTAAGAATTAGAATTAAATGATCATTAAATCAATAGTTATGCAAAATTATAAGGAGTGACTATACTACTACTGACAATTAATAAATAAAACAATGATGTTTAATGTATAAAATAGCATTATTTCATATTTCAATTTAAAAATATTTAACTATAAAACATATGATTTCCTCTTTAAAATAATGTGCATTCCAATTTATTTAGTATTGATGGATTTATTGAGTAAAGAAAATATAATCTAAAATTTACTTTTAGAATATAAGTAGATTTCTATTTCTTAAACATTTAAATTGAAGTATTCAAATATTAAGTTGTGTTTTGGTTTCAATTATTTTTGAGCATTTGGAAAAATATCGTTTTTATTTATTTCTTAATAGCAAAAATGAAATTGGTTTTTGGTTTAACTATTTTATTGGCACTAAGCAGCTGTGCCACATTCTTGGAAGAATAACAGCCTCTAGAAAATAAAATCTATAAGATAAAGCTTGAGAGAACTGAATCATAAGCTAGAAAATCTCTATTTGATTTCATTACAACTAGCTAATAATACAGGAATTCCCCCGACATCTTAGACGAGTCAGACATGGCTATGGCATAAACAAAATAAAAAGAGTCAATTAAATTGTATAACTTTAAAAATACTTAATATACAGGAGAGATTGGATTAGGTGGTTAAGATAATAAATTTAAGGTATAGCATTTTACCTATTTAGGTTATATTCGATACAGGATCTGCAAATATATGGTTGAATTCAGCTAGATGTAATGATTATGGATGTAAAAATCATAAACAATATGATGGCTCAAAGAGTGCAACCTACGAGCATTTGGGATATGATCTGGATGTTGAGTTTGGAACTGGTGAATTAATGGGTGAAGTAATAATATTTTTAATCTTATAGATTAATGCAGATACTGCTTATGTTGGTGGTGTGAAGATAGCAAAATAAGAATTTGCTGAAATCGTAAGAGAGAATGGTGATGTATTTGCTCAATCTGATTTTGATGGTATTGTTGGATTAGCATACCCTTCAATGGCTGCTTATAACTTCAATCCATTGTTTGATAATATTATGTAATAGAAATTGTTGGACAGAAATGTGTTTTCTTTCTATTTTTCAAGACAAGAAGGATCAAGATCTTCAGAGTTAACTCTTGGTGGATGGGATACTGATCATTTTTAAGGAGAGTTACACTTTCACAATGTTGTCAATAAATATTATTGGTTATTGGATGCTGATAATATTTTAGTAAACGGATAAGATGTTGGATTATGCAAACATGGCTGCAAAGTAGTTGCTGATACTGGTACTTCATTATTAACAGGACCATCAGATGACTTGTATGATCTATTGGGTACAATTTTACATCATAAATATAGACACTCTAAATATAGATGAAAATTGTAAAAATGCGAAAGAATTACCAAAATTAACATTTGTTTTAGATGGAATTAATTATGATTTGGATGCTAATGATTATGTCATGAAGATTGACTCTCAAGGAAATGAAATTGCATATGATACTTTTGCAAGTATTGACAGTTTTGTAGAAATGGGTGCTAATTGTCAATGTGTAGGATCATTCATGCCTTTGGATATTCCATCACCTTAGGGTCCAGCTTGGATTTTGGGGGACACTTTCCTAAGCAAATATTATTCAGTCTACGATAGAGATAACGATAGAGTTGGCTTTGCAAGAGCAAAATGATATATATATTCATTCAAAAATTTAAGAATAATTAATTATTTTGAATAATCATGTATTTATATCATCATTAATATTTTGGACTTTATCCTGGTCTTTGCATAGCTTACTAGGGTTATTATTGTTAGAATTAAGGTTGTTGAACATTACCTGCAGCTGATGGAAATACTTATTGCCATCCTGTTGAATATTATTAAGTGGTTGTTGTCACTTGACCATATGCATTTGATGGTAATTATCCATAGGCCTAGGTTGTAGTTGATGGTAATTATCCATAAGCTGTAGTAGTTGTTACAGGTTATTAACCGTAAGTAACTTGGGATGGCAATTAACCATAAGCTGCTGTTGTTGCAGATAATTAGCCATAAGTNAGATGTAATGATTATGGATGTAAAAATCATAAACAATATGATGGCTCAAAGAGTGCAACCTACGAGCATTTGGGATATGATCTGGATGTTGAGTTTGGAACTGGTGAATTAATGGGTGAAGTAATAATATTTTTAATCTTATAGATTAATGCAGATACTGCTTATGTTGGTGGTGTGAAGATAGCAAAATAAGAATTTGCTGAAATCGTAAGAGAGAATGGTGATGTATTTGCTCAATCTGATTTTGATGGTATTGTTGGATTAGCATACCCTTCAATGGCTGCTTATAACTTCAATCCATTGTTTGATAATATTATGTAATAGAAATTGTTGGACAGAAATGTGTTTTCTTTCTATTTTTCAAGACAAGAAGGATCAAGATCTTCAGAGTTAACTCTTGGTGGATGGGATACTGATCATTTTTAAGGAGAGTTACACTTTCACAATGTTGTCAATAAATATTATTGGTTATTGGATGCTGATAATATTTTAGTAAACGGATAAGATGTTGGATTATGCAAACATGGCTGCAAAGTAGTTGCTGATACTGGTACTTCATTATTAACAGGACCATCAGATGACTTGTATGATCTATTGGGTACAATTTTACATCATAAATATAGACACTCTAAATATAGATGAAAATTGTAAAAATGCGAAAGAATTACCAAAATTAACATTTGTTTTAGATGGAATTAATTATGATTTGGATGCTAATGATTATGTCATGAAGATTGACTCTCAAGGAAATGAAATTGCATATGATACTTTTGCAAGTATTGACAGTTTTGTAGAAATGGGTGCTAATTGTCAATGTGTAGGATCATTCATGCCTTTGGATATTCCATCACCTTAGGGTCCAGCTTGGATTTTGGGGGACACTTTCCTAAGCAAATATTATTCAGTCTACGATAGAGATAACGATAGAGTTGGCTTTGCAAGAGCAAAATGATATATATATTCATTCAAAAATTTAAGAATAATTAATTATTTTGAATAATCATGTATTTATATCATCATTAATATTTTGGACTTTATCCTGGTCTTTGCATAGCTTACTAGGGTTATTATTGTTAGAATTAAGGTTGTTGAACATTACCTGCAGCTGATGGAAATACTTATTGCCATCCTGTTGAATATTATTAAGTGGTTGTTGTCACTTGACCATATGCATTTGATGGTAATTATCCATAGGCCTAGGTTGTAGTTGATGGTAATTATCCATAAGCTGTAGTAGTTGTTACAGGTTATTAACCGTAAGTAACTTGGGATGGCAATTAACCATAAGCTGCTGTTGTTGCAGATAATTAGCCATAAGTGGTTGTTGTTGCAGGTAATTAACCATATGTAGTTGTTGTTGCAGGTATTTAACCATATGTTACTTGTTATGGTATATATTAGGATGTTGTCACTGGTACTGTTGTGAATTAGTTTTAGGTTGAAGGAATATATTAATTTGTTGTTGTGGTCGCATATTGAATTTGAGCTGGCACTAGATAAAATAAATAAATTTTATTTACCTTAATATTATTGAGTTGTTTATACCTATTGATAATCAATAGGTTATTAAATAACACTCTATCTAGTCACTGCTTAATATTCTGTTCTCTCTTTTATCGTTTCAACAGGAACATACTCTATCATAGTGTTCAAGAATTACCAATATATTTTTCTTAAATAACTTAAGGAATGTGTTCTGTTACATATTCAACAGCATAATAGTCGGTAATCTTCCTTTCCCTAGGAACATATTCAACAACTTCCTAAGTAACATATTCTGTCACCTCTTTCGTATAAGGAACATACTCTATTCTTGACTCCCCTTTTATAACCTAAGACAATTAATTATGGTTTATACATTTCCTTAAGTAACTACAGGCCCGTTTGATTGAATTAGGGGTTATTAGGCATAAGCTTGCTGTTAAAAATATTGAGGATTTGTTATTAATCCAGTTTGTTATATTGGAATTGCTTAATTCATAATTCCAGGCTGAATCTATGAAGAAGCTGGAACCCAACCAACTGTTGGTTAATAACCTTCAGGAATTAATTAACCACTTTGAGGTAATTAAGATGGTGTAGCTTTTGCAGCAGGAAGTTATGAGGGACGAGTATTATTCATTAGATCTTTAATTAAATTTATTTTTAATTATTCCTTGACTCCACTTTAAGAAGATATAAATTATTTAATAAATATATATTCTTCACATATCATTAATTAAATTAATATGTAATCATTGGTTAAATAACTCCTCACCCTATCCAATACATCTGCTGCTAATTAATGGCAACAAATAGAAACAAGTAAAATCTTATCTTTATTTTAGCTCTCCAACCAAAATAATTGACACCCGCAGAAATAGCTGATGTTGCTCACCATTTTGCTGTTAATAATTAAGGATCTGAACTTTTCTGGGACACATTATAGAGAGCTACTGTCGATTAACTTAGCAATTTCAATAGAGAATAACTAGCCACAGTATTCAGCGCTATGATGCAAACACCTTATGAAGTATACATCCTTTTTCCAATTAGGTTCCTGATGATGTAGGAGAGGCAGTGACCAAAGCAATTGATACGTTTTTCTTAGCTGAATTACAAGCCAACCAAAAATCTGACCCATACTATCTTTCAAAATTTTTATTACAATTCTAATCAGGATTAGGATAATTTGCTCTCAACTTTGGACCTGGATTTCTAACTGGTAGAGTAAATGATGAACATCCTGAATAACGTCTTGCTAAGGGTGACTATGATCTGTCAGAATCATGCAATTCTGAATTGAGATCAGCATTTATTAAAGGGGATCTAAACGAAGAATAAGTGAAAGAAGAAAAAACAAAATTCTTAAATAGAGTTTCAGAATTGCTTGGCAAAGTAAGCATTATAATCATAATTAAAGAATCAAAATGCCCAAGATGTAGCCAATTTGAAATGATTGGATAAAGATGCATATTAAATAAATATAAAAACAAAACACATTTATCTTAAAATTTCAGCTCCAAAAGTGTATTAATCTCTTGTAATCCATTCTTCTTTTAATACAAATACCAAATTATTTATTATTTAATTTAATTATTAAAATGTACAATGAAATGACTCCTTTCTTTACAAAATCAGCACCTTATATTTAAGGTCCTTAAAAATAAGAATAGTTTGGTAGAAAAGAATAATAAGGATGGAAAGATTAACAAGTATGGAAAGAAAAACAGGGATGGAAAGATTAGTAAGGCTGGAAACAAGAGTAAAACAATTACAGAAAAAAAGATATAAAATACAGAAATACAAATTAAGAAAATTATCAATAGTAACCATTGTATTATCCAAAAAATGCTATTGATAATTAAAATTAATAATAACAATAATCCCCATATGATTTTTCGTATGCAACTCAGGATTAAGGGTAAAAGATTGAAGAATACTAATAAAAAAAAATAGAAGATTAATTGCCCATATAGAAGTAAGAATGTGTGACTCAACATAAGGATGATAATGCGGCTAAATAAAATGTTGAGAATATAGAAAGATCTTAATAGCAATAACATCATAATATAACCTCTAATAATGATTAAAAGTAATCATTATCATAATAATAATAATAATAGTAATAATAATAATAATAATACTAATAATAATAATAGAATCAATAATCTTAATAACCTTAAGAGTAAGAATAATCATATTATTAATACAATCAGGAGTAATCAAATGTGTAGAATTACTAACTGTATTAACAACAGTAATAAATACATCCATAATCATAATTAATATAAGCTCCTCATATACCTTATTAATTACCTTAAAATATGTTCTAGCCTATTGCACAATCAAATCCTTTTGCTCTCTAATAACCACCTTAAAATATTAATGAAATGTACTAGCTAATATTTATTTAGGAATCGGTCGGGATAGAGCGCTCCTTATGTTGTTTAATATTTAATCTACCCTAATAAATCAGGAAAGTAGTTTTTATATTAATTCTAATTGACTTAAGTATATTAAATTTATGAATTATAGGAAAATTTAGACGAAAATTATCAAATTCTAAAAGCATAACTTGATTGCAAAAATAAAATTAATATTTGAGAATTATACATTACATTTATATATATAGAATTTATTTTTCAATAATTACAATGATAATTTAATCTAATTTATTTCAAATTTATATGAAAGGATTGATCGATATTTAAAAGGGAAACAAAAAAATTATAATTTAAAGAATTTTTATTAATAATATTCAAGTTTAATTAATTATAATCATTTATTTGAATGTCAAGTGTAAAAAGATCCCAAAGAAACTAATTTGCTATTGATTTTTTATCAGGAGGATTATCAGGAGCTATTGCAAAAACAACATGTGCCCCGATAGAAAGAGTTAAATTATTAATGCAAACAGCAAGCATGAATACAAAACTAACCAAACCATATACAGGGATAACAGATTGTTTTTTAAGGTGTGTAAGAGAAGATGGAGCTCTTTCCCTCTGGAGAGGAAATGGAGTTAACGTTCTAAGATATTTTCCAACTTAAGCCTTGAATTTCTCATTTAAAGATTTCTTTGCAAAATTGCTAAATAAGAATAATAATTGTAAAGCAAAATTTTTAATTATTTTAGAGGATCATTCATCTCAACTATTTTATAATATTTTATCAGGAGGATTGGCTGGAACATGTAGTACATCAATTGTATATCCATTGGATTTGGCAAGAACAAGGTTAGGAGTTGATTTAGGAAGAACAAAGAGTGAGAGATAGTTTTAAGGATTAGTTGACTGCTTAACAAAAGTATTGAATTGCTTTTATTATTAGATTTACAGATCAGACGGTATAAGAGGTTGGTATTAAGGAATAGGAATTTGCTTTGTTGGAATTTTTATTTATAGAGGCTTATATTTTGGAATTTACGACACTGGAAGAGATATTTTTTTCAAAGGTAAGATTTGTAAATCATTTTAGATGCTGATGCGAAGTCTTTGATAATGAAATTTTTTTATGCCTAATGTGTTGTTATTTTTTCTGAAACTATAAGGTATTAAATAATATGAAAATTTAGTTATCCAACAGATACATTAAAAAGAAAATTGATGATGTAAACTGCTGGAGTATAAAGAAAATATAAAAATGCTTTAGATTGCTTTAAATAGATTATAAATACAGAAGGATTCAAAGGATTAATGAAAGGAAATGCTTCCAATATGGCAAGAGCAATAGGAAGTTCTCTTTGCTTAGTTTTATATGATGAGATGAAGCGAGTAACAACAACAAATTAACAGAGATAATGATAATGTGTATAATCAAAGAATCAATTAATTTTAACTATTTATTTTCATAAAATTTATTATTTAAAAGTAAAAATTTGGCAATTTCTATTGTTTTTAAGTATATGTTCAAAAGAAAATTGTAGATACACTTATTGAAAATTTGTCAAGATAAGCTCCAAAGAAAAAGTATTCACAATTATAAATAAACAAGAATGCCAACACCAATTAGTGATTCTTTTATGATTAGGCACTATAAATATAAATTACTCTAAAATCTTTATTTTAAGATGACATCTATTATTGTTTGATAGACGTTATCATTAATTAATTGATTATAATCAAAAAGTAGATTCAAACTTTGAAATTATTTTTAATAATTATAAGTATATGTTTAGACAACCATATTAATGTCCTCCTAGAACCTACCAATAACCAACTTTTGGATTCAAACAGCCATACTACTAACATCAACTGCAATTATCCTACCCATAAACCTTTTATTAAACTTATAACGGATTCTAAATACCTGTAGCACCTAAATAACCTTAAACAATTATTGCTAATTAGACATTTCAATCACCTTAAAAAAATTTTTAAAGCCCTTCTAGAGGATTTACTTCTCCTTCCAGAAATAATTTAATGTCATCATAATAAAAATCTCAATCATAATAAAACCCTCCCTTTTAATCACCATCTAGAACAGTCTTTTATACTTATGATTAAGTAATGGAAAGAATAAAAAATGCTAATTAATAATAATAATAGAAGCAGAATTAATAATGCATACCTTAATCTAAATAATAACTAGAGAATGAATATGGTATTAAAAATAATATTTTTATAGCAGAATCTAATCAATAGAAGCAAGCAGCAAATAAATAATTTATAACTAATTAAGGTTTATTTGACAATAAAAAAAATGTAGAAAAATAAATAAAAAAAATAGAGCCAAAAAAAACAACAGAAAGTAAAATATAACGAAATGAAAGAGAGGAGCATGTAGAAGCATTAGAAGGTATTGTTTAACAACTATTAGAATTGGCATTATAATATGAAGATGGTTATATTTATAGAGGCCAAGGGTATCCTCCATAAACTCGATAAGGATTTGGCATGCTTTCAGATAATGAAGGTAGAGAAGTTTATGCTGGCTACTGGAAATAGAATTTTTATGAAGGATAAGGCAGATTGTAGAATTTATAAATTGAAGAAATTGATGATGCTTTTGATTGCAATAATATGACAACTATTGGAAATGGCTGGTCATACTATGAGGGTAAGAAGTAAATTTCATAAATTTTAGGTTAATTTGTAGGCGGTAAAATGTAAGGTCAAGGGATGCTCATCTTATCCAATGGTGAAAAATATATAGGAGAATTTGATGATGGCATGATTCATGGAGATGGCGAATTTACGACACTACAAAATGAAGTTATAAAAGGTAATTGGGATCAAGGATATTTGGTTCAAATGAAAGAAGAATGATTAATATGAAGTATAATAATGATAAATTGTTTATTTAAAAAAAAATACAGTTTAGAATTAATTTATCTTAAATTATAGCTCTGTGGTTAAATTTCATATAAATGAGATTTTTCTAAAAGTTTTTTTCTAATTATTTCTCTTGTGCATTGATAGATTATGAGAACCATTGTATAAGCTTCATAAAAAAATTCTTTTTACTATATTTATATAATAATGATTAAGTTTGATTATTTTATTTATATATCAGATCTCAAGCTTATAGAATATTGAATCCTCTCACTTTTCTTAGTTTTGATGTTTGCAATTTAGTTTAATTTGATAATTTTTTCCCTATGAAAATTTATTTAAATTCACTATCGATTTATCTTCAAATAAAGAAGAATTTGATTTTTACAAATCAATATTCCTTAATAAGAAGGTTATGAGACTACATCTAATAGAGAAAACCATTGAAAAAATTTACCAATAAGTAAACTTGTTGAAAAATTAAGTATTAACATATAATTTTAAATTCTCTTTAAAATCAATTTAAATCTCAACTCAATTTAGTGATGTTAATAACAATAAAAAAATCTTTAATTTTATGTTTCATATTTTCAATAAGATTTTTATCGATTTGATTCAAATTATTGGGCGGTTGAAATTACAAAGAATTATCATCAACAATATATGAAATATCGATTACTATGATGAGGAAATAATTGTTACAGAAATAAACTTAAAATAGGAAAAATGTAAAATAACAAATTTTTAAATAAAATTTTTACAAGAATCTTTAATCAAAGAAAATCTTCTATACCTATTTGGATAAGAAATTTAAGAAGGAAATAATAAGGACTTATAGTTATTCCTTTAAAACACAGAGTTAGATAAAATCTTTGATTTTCATTAAGTTAGCCAAGAGGCTAAACTAGAGAAAATCTTTAAATTTCTCTTCTCATTTAGGAGGGAGGATCGGTAGTAGGAATATCAAATTGTCAGCAATTTATGATCTTTTAGCAGCTAAAGGATAATTAGTAGATTCTTTTGGAGCTAAGTATTTAATTATTATCATGGAAACAAATTTTTGAAGATCACTTTCTAAATACCACAAATTAAACTATTTCTAATCATAATAGATCAGAATTTACTAGTACTATAATATAAAAAAGGTAGAATCAAAAATGAACTCGAAAATGCCTCATACTTTCCTAAGAAATTAAGGAGAAAACTTCGGTGCGTGAGATTGATAGAGCACTGGTTTCTAGCTACATAAACACTCACGTTAATGTAGCCTATAGGAATGATTTATGGAAGTTCAAATAGATTTATCCCCAAGTGGAGGCTTTGAAGATTTGAAAAATATATAATCTTATTTTGTAAAAATTAAATTTCATTAATTTACAAAAATTAATAAACTTAGAAAAATATTGATAAATTGTATCTTAGTGAATAATTATATTGTAATTATAAAAAAAATACACATACATATATATGCGTACCCAATAATAAATTTCATTGATTTCCCACTACTTAATTCTTTAGAATTCTTATACAATTAATCTAATATTGATGGGGGGGATTAATCTCATTTTTTAGAAATGAAAAATTAAGTTATTTTATAACTATCAATTATGATTTATGACTATGGATATGTAGAAAAATTCATTCAATAGATTTGCTTTTAAATTAATTTATAAAAATTTTGGTATAATTTCTAAATAAATAAATTTAGTTGTTTGACAACTTCATCAAAAGAATAAAATTTTTAAAAAGCTTAGGAGTGATAAGGGATATTTTTGTTTAGATATTAATAAATTTCAAATTACATAGAGCATGCTAATCAGTATTTAAGATGATTAGATGGTTGTAGGGAAGATTTAATTATTATCTCCTTAAATCTTAATTCTGTCAATGATATCATACTTTTTGATGTTTAATGTGTCTTTTCAGTCTTTTTGATAACCTATACTTTTAATATCAATTGAAGAATAATAATCAAAGGTGATTGGTAAGTTACTTTGAATATGAAAAATCATTCAATCTAATTGTTTTAACTTTGTTATAGTTCAAATTAACTTTATTTTAATTTGATGTATCTTTTATTTATATTTAAATATCTTTAACTATTTATGAACTAATTTTACAATATTATTAATTATGTTATTAAGACTAATCCCTTTTTTAAATAGTAATAAATTAAGTAAATCTATCAAATAGTATCCTAGATGTTTGAGAAAAAAATGTTGTGTTAATTAAGTTTTCTTTAAATAATTTGACCGATCTTTATTTTAATCTCCTCATTTTGACTGTTCTCTGTTTAGATTAATAAATATATCATTTAAAATAAAATCTCAAGAAATATTAATTGAAAACAGTTTTTATGATATTTAAATAAAAAAAATCCCTAAACTTAACTGATCATATATTTTAATAATATTAAATAAATGTGGTGTATATAAACTGAAATTGTAAAAAACTTTTATGAATAAGATCTTAACTAGTTTTAGAAGTGATGATTAAGAATGAAACTAATAAAGACTGAATTTATATTAATATTAAATATTGATTGTAATTATAATTGTTGTTTGATAATCATCAAAATCACTTATTCTATAAATCTTCTAAAAAGCAACTTCCTTTAGATTTTAATAAAGGTTTCAAATCTTTCCCCTAATGGTTTATAAATTCTCCTTACAATATAAGTGTACCTGATGCTTCTAATTAAAGATTCTAACAAATACTAAGTATTGTACGATATGTCTAAACTAAATAATAATAAATAACAAATACCATTTGGTAATAATGAGCTATTCTAAAGTGATATTTTAAATTATGCAAGAATATTTTTGTAGTTTTAATCAGAGGATTTAATTTCTTATCCTGTCTTTACATTCCATAGACGGATAGAGTTATCTATACTACTAGAAGCTAATGTATTTTCATCAGGAGAGAAACAGACTGACTAGACAGTATTAGTATGACCATCTAATTTGGCTTTTTATTATCCTGTTTTGACATCCCATAGACGGATAGA